AAAGAGGCAAGGACGAAAGAACGAAGAAACAAAGGTGGAGAAAAAAGAGAGAGAGAGAGAGGCAGCAAAGGCAACGCTGGGGAAGCTGAGGAGGAGAAATCCAATCACCTGAGGTGGCGTTGCACCCAATACACATCTATTGATTTGTGCAGTCATAGGACCATGCTAGCACGGTAGAAGACCTACCCGACAATGCGATGGCTCGTTGAGAGAAGCCTCAGCGTGGCGACTAACTTCCATACAGACGAGCCTATCAGCAATGCACTGACGCGGCTCAACTGGCCTTTGGAAGCTACTGGAGCTTCCTGACTCATGAGAAGAGCCATGGCTAGTGGGCAGATATATGTGTCGCGTGACCTACCTGTGTCAACCAATCCCGGTTTTGAGATGAACAATACGAGACGTCTTTGTTGAACCACGGTCTGGAGCATGATGAGCATTTCATACGTTCAGAGCTATCGTCACTCCCTGACGGTGCTCGGCTGAATAGGTACCCGCACTTACGCGGGCAGGTTGACACCTAGCTGGGTGGAGGCCTTGCTGGTATAGCTGCTGGAAGAGAAAGCCACCTTTGACGTCAACATGAGGATCGAGGTGCTACTTGGTACCGGACGGACGGACATCCCATCCGCTGTATCTGATACAGCGGAGGTTTCTCGCCTAGTGAATCTGAGAAATGTGGGATATCGTTCTCACAACTCGAGTGGGATAAGGTTACTGGAGGGAACATGTTTTTGGGTAAGATAGGAATGTGACGAATGTCCCTCAATCTATCTCAAAGCACCAGCTGTAGGATTATAGGAGATTGATATACGAAAGTAGATATACAAAAGCTTTGGATAGCTCATATACAATATTAATATAGAGATCTCATATTGTCTATGAATGAACAGGCTAAACAGTCTCTGCCGCGTAGTGCAGCGAATTATTCTATATAAACCAACGAAAATAGGTGTCCGTTATAGGATTCTGTCAGTCGGTCACGGCAGCTTCATCTGTGGCATTTGCTTGCACTGAAGAATTGGGATGTGACGTTGATCAAGTTGTGAATTCCTCATATGTCAGGAACAAGTAATGAGCCTGAAGTCCATGAAACTCGCGCCTGTCAAATATTGGTCTGGCTCATAACAATCTGCTCAAGGTGCTAGCATGTGCAATATCATTAGGGTGATGGGAAATCTCCTCTCTGACGACCTGAGGACGTAAATTAGTACATCGTAACCTGCTGTCAGGGCATATGGGCGTCTATGTAGAATTTATCCACGTGTACTTGTAGCCACCCATGGTGCCATAGTGATGATCACCGTGCCATCAGACATGTATCATGGAGACGTCATCCAGTATCAGATCCAGAAATTAGCAACACACTCGTCGTCTATCTGTCGCTTCTTCGCTTAGGTTTCCTGTGCTGCTCAGTAGTTGCACATCAGCCACGCCAGTCATCTGGAGGATCCGACTTCAGCACTCTATCCATGATTATCGATATCGAAGAGCGTCGGAAAGCTGGTTTCGATTCTGCCATAATGAAAGAAGGTTCCTCGCCGAGCCACTCCTCCGGGTGACTAACTTGCGATATCTGTAAAGGGAGTAAAAACAGCCTCCACGCCAGACCAGAAAGTACGCCAGTGAGCTCAGTAGACCAACGGCCTAGGAAAAATTCACCATGACCGGGGAGATCCTGTATGCGGTTGCTGCGCAGGACTAGGCTATGGCTGTAGTAAACGACACTGTGCAGTCGAAGCTAACCTACCGCGGCAAGCTCCCTAATCACAGAGCCAACTAGGTATATGGTCCTTTACTATTGATGAAAGATTTAGCCCCACTAGGACCGCTTCAACGCAGCACAGGCGGAAGCAATCCTCCAAACGTCCCCCTTGGCATCCACTGCTGCGCCTCAGGTTGTCGCTTCGAGGTTGATGTATCATGGTGCCTTCCTATGCCAGCCGACCTCGGGGATCACGAGCAGCCCATGCAATGACCCTGCAGTTGTGCTAGCTCTTCCACGTGCCGGGGGTCTTGAAATATTGAGCATGTTAGCCGCTTGAACGGGGATACAGCAGTACTCTGGGAAGTTAGCCTGGATCTCACTCTCCCTCCCAATGTCCCTCTCTATCAATGTCCCCGATCCGGTATCAAATGCACAGGAGAGTAGCTTCCTGTTTCTCCGGTTTCTGCTCGGCGGTCCTACTTCACGCGGTGACTCCGGGTCCGGATGAAGCGACCTCAGCACAAGATCTCACGACACTGTGGCAGGCCCACTATTCTGTCCCATCAAGCAGTCCAACTGGCTCATATGCATAAGCATCGCAGCTACTCCAAGATCCATTATTCGATGCTGCCAGTCCTGGGCATGTCTCAGTTTCACCACCAATGCACGCAAGGTCCAACGTGCCCATGCATATATGGGTTGAGGATATGAATCTCCGAGCCGCCCATTTCCAGAAAATATGCTATAGCAATATCAGAGATTGTGACGAACTATGTGAGCATGGTAATGGAACATCGTTGCAGAGTACACTCTCGTTCCAGGCATCGGTGCCCGCTATCTGCGATAGATTGACAAACTTGGCATGCGCTTGATGAGCTTCGAGCATGCCATCACGTTTGCACAGATCCTCGACCTGCATCACATAGAAGGCGACTCGTTTTCTTCCGCAACCGGGTTGTTCTGGTCCTTGTATGTCTCTCGGAGCTATGGCAGCGTCCACATTGGTCGCACTGCGCTCTAGAAGAAGACAAGTTGCATATGGGGAACTGAATTAAACCTTTGCGGGGTGCCCAATACCACTCTTCGACGGGCGTGCCAAGCCAACAGCTTTCATATCAACATTTACGGAGTCGTCAGAGTCAGAAGTATAGCACTGCGTCGGCTTTTAAGAGTACCAGATCCATTTGTGTGAATCAGCCTGTTTAGCAATCAGAAGTTACATCGTTGATTCTCTTGTTCCCGTTACTTCCATTTCTCTGTGCTGGTGTGTTTCTCTTCGTGTGCTGCATGATTTGCTTACTCTCTAGGCCACCTTTACTGGCTGGCCTATTTCTATAAACACGGGTCCAGTCATAGTAGAATGAACTCTGGCGATCATCCCAGTTGGATTTATAGACCCTATGTAGGGTGGAAGAGCCAGACGCGTATTGTTACAAGGTCAGTGGCACAATGCTTGTCGTGTTAGCTTCTTGTGATGGACAGAAGGCTGCCAATGCCTAGGTTGAATGGAACACCCGGATGCGGAGTCCATAGGTAGGTTATATCTTCCAGCCCAGTTGCCTATTCTGTGCGAAGCATCTCATAAGTCATTCGAGGTTATGTTATGCATTAGCACATGGCAAATTTACTAAATTCCAGGCATGACATTCCGTGTTTGTCACTGTGGTTAGTGATAGTCAAGCCCACTTACAATCTGTCTACGTTACCACTCAGCACAAGACCTCGCACAACTGCCTCAATGCTCTATCCATGAGAACGTCTTGGTCGGTCATGTCCATTCCATGGATGTGACGGTTTGGCTAGGTTCAGCTATTTGCGGACAACTTGGCACCTTTGGAGAATTGCACATGGCCATGATATGGCACAATTGTGGGAGCCAGCCGGATAGCATAGCTGGTGGGGAATTTCGAGGCAGCGCACGTTAGACTTATCGAGACCTGTGGTATTCAGTCTCTCACACGTGGTTCAACAATGTTCTGCAGAGCTTGTATGTGAGTCCTCGGTTGTAATGGAGGCGTATCCGGAACCTCAGTAAAAGCTAGCGAGTACGAGGGAACCTCAACTTAAAGACGATGAGATACTAGGGGAGGAGTACGTTCAAGGTATTACGTATGCCACCGGCGCGGTGCGACAGCATCTCAGTGTGTGTAGCCTACCGGTACAACGGCATTTCGGTGCAGACACGCGTGAGGATTAGAATAACCCAACGCGCTTTTGCATCGTCACGCGTACCTTGGTGGGGTTGCGGCTGTGTATTTTCGCGTTGCGTTCGTGAGTGATCGCGGTACGGTGATGATTCCAACGGCGAGGGTCAGTGCCTGGCATCAGATGAGCAAGCCACACGTTCTCAGCTGGATATCTGTGTCGTGGTATCTCTCTTGGGCCTTGATATAACTGCTCGTCCAACGTGCATCGAGTGGGTCGAGGCTGGTCGCATGTACGATTCGGGCGTAAGAGGAAAAAAAAAAAAAAAAAAAAAAATGTCACCTAATCATGACACAGCACAAGTCAGCCCGTGCCAAGTCTCTTGGTTCATCGGGCAGAGATGGTGACAGTGTTAATGTAGCCAGGGCGACCGATGTGGTCAGTCTGGGGGTGGCAGGAGGCGAGCTAGACCTAGTAATACAGTTCAGATTAGCTATGTACACACTTTTTTCATGTGCGGATGCAGGAATATAGCATTGACGCGTTGGTTGTTCATCAGGGTATAGGTGATTGTTGGTCTCATGGCCGTAAGGCTCTGAAGTAGCAAATACGTTTTATACAGAAACATCATTTGAACACATCGAATGGAAACTGCTCAGTGCATACCTTGACGAGTTTGTCCCAGCCAGCGGGGACGGTGACAGGGTTCTGGCTGGTTGGAGCTGAGGCGGACACAGGGTGTGGCCCTTGTTGGATTAAGCTGTAGCTTGGGGGTGCTCTGGCTGTATTTATGTACCGTGGAGCGTGATCCATCGTGCCTAAAATGGTTTGGTGTCCAAGCTGAATCCACAGAAGCAGGCCGAACCTCGCCTGGGGGTTCAGGCCACCGGCCTGGCCGGGGGTTCAACCCTACCCGGGGTTCAACTCGACCCGAGCTCATGTCGAGCTCCTGACGAACGTGACTTTCAAAGCATGATTTCAGTGATCTTATATGCGTGGCGTGGGTTTTATATCAACTAATGGCTTTATGTGATAATTTACTACTGACTATCTTGCTTCATATGCTTTTGTGACTCTCTAATCTCTGGTGGCGATTCATTGGTGTGTGCTTCGATTGTAAGTAGATCAATGCCAAACTTGTAGATATATATACTACCACTGGTACATACCACCACTTGTACGTACACCATACCTTACATCAACAACAGATATACCCAAACAATTACTAACGTACCTACACAACCAAGTTACATCCAATATCCAAGAAGAGTAGAACTCATAAGTACGACATCACGTTACGCGCTGCACACTCCAAGGAAGCCGTATCGAAGTCGCACTGGGAGTGATGAAGACCCAAGTACAACCGCATAAACCCCGTAATCTTCCAGAAGGGTCAAGGGTCCAGATGTAAGCTACAGAGCAAGCTACATATAATCACAACAGAACACAATACTCAAAGCAATCAAAGTGATTTAGGATTAGCTATCATCATACATACTGGTGGAAACAGGAAGCGCGGAGATACAGGTCGCCCCATAGCCTCAGTCCCACACACACCACTGACGCGTACGGTAAACACGCGACAATGGACAACGCACAACAAACATTTGCAGACAGCTACACAGACACGCAAGCGATCACGATATTGTTTTCATCTTTTTTTCAAGCGTTCGTATTCATACCAGACCGCGCATTTTCATGACGCGATGGTTCTAGAGGTACCAGCCGATAGCATGAAGGCCGCTATGATACAGAAATTTCAATCACGAACACTAGCAGACCCAGTAGTGGACGCGCAATAGTAAAGTAAAATACGTTAAAAGCAAACCCAGAGACCCATGGTAAAAGATCAATAACACCCCAACGTCCCAGTCATACCGTAAACCAACCCGAAAAAGCAACCCGTCGCGTCACTGCTGCGGAAGGACAACCGACGCGCCGACCGCGCAGGATGGCTAAAAACAAAAGGCGAGAAAAGAAAGCATTTAACCACCGAAACCGTAGAGGGTACCTGATGGACATGTTAGACACGGGTCGATAGGAAAAGATGACCAGCAAAGGCAACTTACGTCCTTGACGCTTGAGGGCGTAGACAACGTCGAGAGAAGTAACGGTCTTACGCTTGGCGTGCTCAGTGTAGGTGACAGCGTCACGGATGACACCCTCAAGGAAGGTCTTGAGGACACCACGGGTCTCCTCGTAGATCATGGCAGAGATACGCTTGACACCACCACGACGAGCGAGACGACGGATAGCGGGCTTGGTGATACCCTGGATGTTGTCACGCAAGATCTTGCGGTGACGCTTGGCGCCACCCTTTCCGAGACCCTTTCCACCCTTTCCACCTATTGTAGAGAAACGCGTTAATCATTGATCCCGATCACGCCTTGGATGTTCACTGCAGGGGAAAGACTTACGGCCAGACATATTGATGATTGATTAAGAGTTAACTTGGTTTTTAAGGTTGAGTGAGGAAATGTGGAGAGGTAGGCTGTTAATTGGATGACAGATGAGAGAGAGATGGGAAGGGAAAGATTGGGACAGCTGCCATGGGACGGGTGATATTTGTATAGGAGAAGGAAGAGCGCGGGGAGGGCATTGGAATCACGCGCTAGCAAGGGGATCGACCAATCAGCAGCAAGGATCCTCCCGCCGGGTTTGATCTGTCGGCAACGTGACCGAGAAGTGATGATTCCGCTATGATCAACTTTGATCCTCACGGAATGCCTCTCAACCACTGAGATCAAGGATCAAAAAAGATCAGAGACATTTCTGAACATACCAACTATCATTCGGATCTACTGGATTAATTCACATACCCCGCCGGTGGTTGGGATCAAGAGGTGGCAGAGCGACATGCTAGATCTGTGATCCTGCGATTCTATTGGTCCGTCATTCGCTTAACGCACGGGCCACAATCCATTCCTGCCTTGGGCGCCGGATTCCTGACCGCCCGCAAGGGAACCCTTTGATTCTGCAGCGAAAAGTGACCCCCGAAATCACGGCTTATGGTGTGCTGCTTTCCGAGCGCTTTTTCGATCAAAGGGAAAGGACGCTAAGGCCACCCAAATTGCTGCCAACGCCATCAGATCACCACCCGCCCTTCGCTTACTACAAATACCTTCCCCCACCCGCCTCCTCCATCCTTCTTTCATCTCCTCATCCGCCAACACTTTATCATCGACAACCATCGACTTTTATCTATTTTCATCTCAAAGTCGACTAATCCCATCAAACCTTATCTCTAAAGATGGCCAGAACTAAGCAGACTGCCCGTAAGTCCTAACCTTACCGTCCTTTCTCTTGTGGCGTCGTCGCCCCGCGTCAGGGTCGCGTCCCCCCTAGAGTGATATCGCGTCTTGAATCATCATCACTAACATCCATCCAGGTAAGTCCACTGGTGGCAAGGCCCCTCGTAAGCAGCTCGCCTCCAAGGCCGCCCGTAAGGCTGCTCCCTCCACCGGAGGTGTCAAGAAGCCTCACCGTTACAAGCCTGGTAAGTTTATCTTGAGTGGCAAATCACACTATATCGCATTTCACTAACAGTCATGAAAAGGTACCGTCGCTCTCCGTGAGATCCGTCGCTACCAGAAGTCCACTGAGCTTCTGATCCGCAAGCTCCCCTTCCAGCGTCTGGTCCGTGAAATTGCCCAGGACTTCAAGTCCGACCTTCGCTTCCAGTCCTCTGCCATCGGTGCTCTTCAGGAGTCCGTTGAGGCCTACCTCGTCTCTCTCTTCGAGGACACCAACCTCTGCGCTATCCACGCCAAGCGTGTCACCATCCAGTCCAAGGACATCCAGCTCGCCCGCCGTCTCCGTGGTGAGCGCTCTTAGATTATTCTCTAATGAGTCCGGTTTTTCTGGTTGTCTCTGGGTAGGCGATTAGGGGTTTTATTTCTTTTTCACGACTGGCGATACATGATGGGTTCTGTTTTTTCATTTGCGAATATCAATGGGTTTCGGCACTGGGATTAGTTTTCGTTTTGCTGCACAATAAATAGTAGGCTGCCGACGACGCGGCTGAATGGGTTGGATCTCATGGGATGCATCCGGGTATGTACATTAAGAAATTTTACTTGACCAAGTGGTATTCTCCGTGAATTGCCACCGGATGGCATAGATTCGAAATGCAGATTCTATGACGAATAATCCAATTCATTCCTGCCGTGACTTACCTCGCGCTGTTCCTAATTGTAAGAATTCTTGTTATGGTCGCGGTCGGGCTTTCTGCGACGCGACCGTGACCTGTTGAGCGTGTACCGGTGGTATCGCTGGGTTGGTGCTCACAGAGCGTCCAGTATACCGCCAATATAAGTTCTCCTTCTACCATGTCTACTGGATATTTTGGAATATTTATGTTTATTTCCTCGACTTCAGGCTAGTCCTTTCTTTGAGATGGTTGTTTGCGACCGTGCAGCTGTTAAAGAGAGAAGTAGTGACTCTGGATGCAGCATTATGACTTGGTACTTCCATACCGTCCCGACCTTGGGATAGAACAAGAGGGGCTCATAGATAGGCCTCAGCTTTCTGGTATATTTCCAGAATTACGTATACAGAATACGGCTTATTACATATTGTATACCCGCACCTCTAAAACCCCTCTATTCTCCATTAAGGGGAGGGGAGTGGAGGGGTACAAGCGACAGACCGATCGCGATGGAGGCATCACGTTTGCGTAATAAGTCTATCAAAACCAGACAACCAATAGCTACAAAAGAACACGACATCACATCATTTGCAATATCCTCTGCCTATGTATTACAAGATTTAATGATTATTCTTATCATCAACTATTCTGTCGGCATCTTACGCAGCGACCGGTTCCTATTCCGAGCCCGAAACCCCTTACGTGGTGGTTCAAAGTCTTTGCGGCCAAGTCCCGTGTCTCGGTCGGACAGCGAAACGAGATATGAAACACTCTATCGGCGGAAAAGTAACTAGTAGCATCATAGTTAGATTGGGTAGCTGGGAATTGGGATCTGTATTTGTAAGATGGCGTGCGTTTTTCTTTGATTAGATGGGGGCTCTGTCGTGAGTTGGGAATTTGCCGAGGCTCTTTCTGGGTTTTCCTTATCTTGTTTGTTGGTTGGCTGGTGAAGGAGACTGGTTGGTGCTTGCTGACTGGGTTGTTGTTGGATTCCATGGCGTAGTAGGTTGCTCTTTTGATTTTCTGGGTTTGGGTTCTAAGTGTCTTGTTAGAGTGCAGAGTGGATGGGCTGTACGTTGTATGTTAGATGTGGTTAGAGGGTTTGGTGGTTAGGATGCAGGGCTTAACTTCACCGGTGTTGCCTGATCTATGAGCAGGATGAAAAAAAAATGGGGATGTTAAGGAAGATCAAGACAGGATATATGATATTAGTACATAATATATCGTTTAGGTTTTATGCTAGATGAATATGAGATCTTGACAAAGGGTACTTTAGGTTTGGATGTACGTAGATATATAACCCGCAATTTGACATGTAGATGCAACAACCGTACAACTTGCTATTACCAGGTAAATGGCAGGCCACTACCGACTAACCAGGTAGCATATCTAATTACATCCCATGCCGAAGGCACCAGGATTAATCGTAGCGAATAATAAATCCCTGTCGCACCGCCGCTATCGAGTCGACATATAGATTTGTTGCCTTACAGACAAGGCGGCAAGAAGTGGGCGCACGAATATGCATCCTTCCAGTTCGAAAGTAAGATATCTGCAAATACAGATGGAGACTAACACAGCCTGTCGCGCTTATCGACCTGTCATGTCACATGAGGGACAGATGGCTGATCATCCAAGACTCTAGGTTGTATCTTGGGTCAGCATAAAGTATAAGGCACGACCCATCGTTCTCCGACTTTATGCAGCAACTCAAGCATACACCGGGACCTAGGGCAATTACCGTCAGATTCTAGGGTGGCTCGAAAAGGCCCAGAATGATTTAGTGGTACCGGGGCTAAACCGCTTTGGGATTATGGACTCGCGCTTGTGGGTCCAAGACGGGCACGCCGAGTCCCCAACAGACTTTGAAGCCTTGAGGCTAACGTCCCCTGATGATGGGTTTCTTTGTAAATATGCACTTAGATAGTTGGTACTACGCTTCGTAGGAGATCCCGATTAAACCTTTTTCATATATAGGGAATAGATCCGAGGCGTTAGCATGTAGATGATCGTCCCTAGCCGGATATCACGACTTGCCAAGGGCCCATGACAAGAAGAGTAGCCGATGCTTAGTTTTATGGGCCACGGTATTGAGAACATGGAAACCTGGGAGGAGGTCCAGGAACATTGTTCGTGTGGAAGATCCCGACAGAATATTATTGGGATATACTAGTAATGAACCCCTTTACGTTATGAATACGAGGCAATCATGCTATGTGGTCGTGGCCTTATCAGCAACTAAAGTCAGTCTATGAACTGTGGCTGAAATCGGATACGAAAAGATATTCTAATCCGAAGCGGGAGATTTTATGGGTGCAGAGAGTGACGGGTTGACATCCTGATGCGGCTGATGAAATAATCGGGCCGACGAGTCATTCGGTCACCTGCTCTTATCGAGCGATTTCGACACCGTGATGCAACTTCCCCCTCACTCGAATAATCTGAGATGAGAGCATGCCCACCTTAGATTGGATAGATAAGACGTCACTGACGATGTCTTATGTACGATTTTATGATCCTTCACAACTCACACATGCATCTGTAATCAAGAAAATGGCCCTACGGAGCACTCTCTCAAAGAGTCATACACCCGACGAATAAACTCGACTAATCAAAAAACTTTCCTGGATAATTTCCCTAAGCCACGAGGCACACGGTTAGCCCATGGATCCAGAGCTTTTAACAGATGGGTCTTCGGATCCACTCCGTCCAAGGCGACCAGTGTATGCGCTGCATAACGGCAAATAATGCTCAGAACTCGGGTGCATTTGGCCCCATTCCTTTAAATTGCAGCTTTGTTTCGTACCAGAGGGACCTGAGACCGGCTTAGATCCGAGGCAAATTACTACAAACTGACGCTGTCACTAAAGCAAAGGGAAAAAAATTTCTTTAGACCCAGATGTATATATAGATCTCTAATGTCCCTTTCAATCCTACTTTTTCCGGCCCTGGATTTGTGTGGTACCGTTCCTTAACCTTTTAATAGATTTAATCTTGATTTTATTTTAATTTTCCTGATCGACATTCTTGGTTGCCCACACCTTGAATTTCAATACCGCCGACGATACGGAATACACTTACCGCATTCGGCCAATATAGTATCCTGGACAGGGATCATCCTATCTGATAACAAACAGCAGCACTTGTTTGCTCTATTAATACGCGAGAGACTTCAGCTGTAGCCGCCCTTTGTCCGTCTCTTTGACCAAGTCGCACGACACCGTCTCCTACTCCTAACCGCCGTTGTTCACTGTCCTCATTGTGATACGAAACACAGCTTCTTCCACCATGTCGAACGAGAAGGGGGCTCTCGGCGAGTCGCCCATGAGCCGGAAAATTCCATATTGGCGCATGGTTATGGATCAGGGAGCCGTGACCCAGGAAGTCATCGATCAT